TAAGCTAAGCTAAGCTACGCCTGCAATGGTCTCGTCTGCCTCCTTAACCTAGGCTACTCTATTGTAAGCTAAGCTAAGCTACGCCTGCAATGGTCTCGTCTGCCTCCTTAACCTAGGCTACTCTATTGTAAGCTAAGCTAAGCTACGCCTGCAATGGTCTCGTCTGCCTCCTTAACCTAGGCTACTCTATTGTAAGCTAAGCTAAGCTACGCCTGCAATGGTCTCGTCTGCCTCCTTAACCTAGGCTACTCTATTGTAAGCTAAGCTAAGCTACGCCTGCAATGGTCTCGTCTGCCTCCTTAACCTAGGCTACTCTATTGTAAGCTAAGCTAAGGTAGGTCCTCTACGGTCCCTCAGCTACTCTAGGCTAAGCTAAGCTAAGCTACGCCTGCAATGGTCTCGTCTGACTCCCTATTCTAGGCTACTCTAGGCTAAGCTAAGCCTGCAATGGTCTCGTCTGCCTCCCTAACCTAGTCTACTCTACGCTAAGCTAAGCTAAGCTAGGTCCTCTAAGGTCCCTCAGGTACTCTAGCCTAAGCTAAGCTAAGCTAAGCTAAGCTAAGCTAATGCTGCAATGGTCTCGTCTGCCTCCCTAACCTAGGCTACTCTACGCTAAGCTAAGCTAAGCTAGGTCCTCTAAGGTCCCTCAGCTACTCTAGCCTAAGCTAAGCTAAGCTAAGCCTGCAATGGTCTCGTCTGCCTCCCTAACCTAGGCTACTCTAGTCTAAGCTAAGCTAAACTAGGTCCTCTTACGTCCCTCAGCTACTCTAGCCTAACCTAAGCTACGCTAAGTCCGCAATGGTCTCGTCTGCCTCCATAAGCTAGGCTACTCTGGGGTAAGCTAAGTCATGTCTCCCGTGGTGTCATGTGCCTCAGTAACCTAGGCTCCTCTAGAGTAAGCTATCCTTAACCAGGTATCAAAGGTCCCTTGGCTATTCTATGTAATGCTAAACTTAGTTAGGTCTGCAATGGTGTCGTGCCTCACTAGCCTAAGGTTACTGTAGGTTAAGGTAGTTCCTCGAAGGTCTAGTCTCTCTCACTAACCTACAGTACTCTATGCCCGGTGAAGCTAAGCTAGGTCCTTGGAAGTCTCATCTTCCTCACTAACCTATTTTCCTCTAAGGTACGCTTAACTCAGCTAGTGCCTCAAAGGTCTCTTCTCCCTCACTAAGCTAAGATACTCTAGGCGAGGTCCTCGAAGGTCTAATCTCCCTCACTCTTCTAAACCATGCTATGCTAAGGTACGCTAATGTCAGGAAAGATTGTACTAGTGTCTTAAAATTATACCTTTCCCAGCTGGCGTGGCTCGTGTTTGAGTGTCTACTTCTGAACCAGGAGGTCAAGGTGGATTCCTCTTCAGAGCACTTGCTGGTTTTGATGGCTGGGTCCCCATTCCATGAGCACAGGGTGCAACCAATCAATCAGTGCTTCTCTCTCTGCATTGATGTTTCTATTTCTCTTCCTCTCCCTTCCTCTCTGAAATTAATTTAAAAATTAAAAAAAAAATATGAAGATGCTAGTGTATTTTTAGACAAGATCTTATTTTTTTAACCCCCAGGAAATCCCTGTCATTCAAGTGGATTTACCTTTGCTTAGTCTGTAATCATCGCCTGTCAAGGCCCCACTGTGTTCAGAAGGGGAAACTTGTCTTTGATGTCCTCTCTTTCTGTAGGTGCCAATTACTGTTCCCCGAGCCTGGAGAGCAGGGTGATGGGACAGCCACTGCCTTCTTCAAACAACATCCATTTTATCTGTGGAAAGAGCCCATCTTTATTTCATCAGTTTCAACTGTCACTCATAAAACGATCCCTAAATACCAACTCAACACATACAAATCCATCAACGGACTATGCTTGTAAATCACTCCTATCAACAGGCATTTGTTGAGCACATTTCTGGGTCCTAAGTCCTTACATGTCATGGAGCCTTGGAAAGCAAGCTGGGCAGATGACATCCCCATTCTCATAAATGATGAAACCGGCACGGGGTGACCTACTCAAGCTGATAATGTGAGTGTTCAGATTCCAGACCCCGGCTTCTCCCACTATTTCTCTACTTGAGATTGGGTGAGGGCCTTGGTGTTGACCAGAAGCGCAGAGAAAGAATCCTGAAATCAGATGACCAATGGTTTCAAGACTGGCTCTGTTGATTGTTATGGTGTGGCCTAGGGCAAATTTCTTAATGACTTAGTCTCAAATGACTCATTTGTATTGTTATCATAGTTCCATACCTCAATAAAAGTATACTTTAAAAAATCCATATCTGTAGAATTGCACCAGCGAGAAACTAGGGTTTGCATCTCAGGTTCCCTAGCCAAAAGGTCACTTTTATAAGGAGAATCTAGTGCTTCTTCCCTCAGGAAATCCCAGAATTGAGCAAAGATCACAAGCCAGGCTCAGGAACTATATGTGAAATAAACTGATGGAGGAGGAAGGGTCTTTCACAAAACTGGAAGGTGGACATTTTATGTCATCTCTTAAGTCTGCTAGAGAAAAGGGGGTACAGTAAGAAGATTTGGGGGTGGGGAAGACACTAATAGTCTGGAAGAATGGGCTCACACCCCTGGAACTGATTTCCTGAAGAGAATCATGCCCCAGTCAACATTTCTTCACACAAACCTCTCAGGAGAGCCGCCGCTTTGTCTCTGTCTACGTTACTGATCTTAATTCCAGGCGGAAATCCCTGGTTCTGCTTCCAAACCAGGCGGAGCCAGGTCCGACGGGAGGACAGATGCTTGCCTGCCTCGTTGTCTCTGATAGGGAGACTTCCCTGTCACCCAGGTTTTCAGGACACTCACGGGCACTGACCCCAGAACTGCCCATTTGGACGGTGTGGAGCAAAGGGGTGGGGGTCCAGTCACCACCTCCCAGCTCACCTGCTCCTCTAGGGAAACCTCTCCTCCTACTTGGCAGGTCCCCTGAGGCACATGCTTGCCCCCTACTGCCCTGGCTTTTCAGGGCACCGGAATTGCAACTGTCGCCCATGCGATCCTCACCAGGAATTCTACCCACAAAATAAAACAAACAAGCAATCAAAAAGAACCCTGCACAAACACAGCATGGCAGGGTTCTGCACCTCCCCCGTCCCCAGCCCTGCAAAGGAAGGCCCCCGGAACTGCTGGGCAGAGGTTCCCTATAAGGTGACCCAGCCACCCTGCCTGATACGACCGTTGGAGACATTTTTAACAAACACAGGGAAAGGTGTAGCTGTTTTATGTGTGTATATACTCATACACTAGCAGTGCCTAATTCCAAATTTCCGGTGGCATACGGATAATTTATTTTAGACCCTACGCAGGAATAAAACATGTAGAACATATATGCACTGTCCTTCAAGTAAGTGACTCATTATACTGCACACGACTACGGATCCATATACTTCTTACAGGAGACTTGGAAGGACACTGTCAGCACATCACGGCTCAAAAATGATCCTCTGCTGCCCTCCTGTGGCCATTCTGGGAAACAACACCTTGCGCCTCTGTCCATGGTGCTGAAGTCCCAGCTAAAGCCCCGTGAACACGACCAAAAATCTACCCCGAAAAAAACCCCGCAAAATCAGCCAGGCAGGCCCGGGCGGCGATCATTCCGTCCCTGGATGGACTGAAGTCACCACTCTGGGTTCTGCGCCTCTTCCCGCCCCAGTCTTGTAATGGGAGGCCCCAGAGACTGCTGCACTGATGTTCCCAGGAATGTGCCCCGCCCACCCTGCCTAAGGTGTTCCTTGGTGCCTTGGTTAACTGGAGTGCCGGGAGTGTCTGTCGGGCAAGCTAATGCTCTAACCATTGAGCGACACCAGCTACTGATTCCGTTCACTTTTAAAAAGGTAAATTTGAGACCTAGCCGGTTGGCTCAGTGGATAGAGCGCTGGCTAGAGGACTAAAGGGCGCGGGTTCAATTCAGGTCAAGGGCACAAACTTGGGTTGCAGGCTCCTTCCCGGCCAAGGCCCGAGTCCGGGCTTGTGCATGGGGCAACCAATCGATGTCATATTTGATATTCACTCTGTCTTTCCCTCTCTCGTCCATTCTCTCTAAAGATCAATGGAGCCCTAGCCGGTTTGGCTCAGTGGGTAGAGCGTCGGCCTGCAGACTGAAGGGTCCCGGGTTCGACCCCCCTGGTTTGATTCTGGCCCGGGTTGTTGGCTTGATCCCCAGTAGGGGGTGTGCAGGTGGCAGCCGATCAATGATTCTCTTTCATCATTGAAGTGTCTATCTCTCTCTCCCTCTTCCTTCCTCTCTGAAATCAATAAAAGTATACTTTAAAAAATCAATGGAAAAATATCTTTGGGTGAGGATTAAAATTAAGTGTAACCATATATATATTGGAAACCATTCCCAGCCACCCTTATGGGACATAAACCTTCCCTCCTACCCGCACTTTGCATGGGCATTTCTGTGGATTCGCACCTGCGAGAAACTAGGGTTTGCATCTCAGGTTCCCTAGCCAAAAGGTCACTTTTATAAGGAGAATCTAGTGCTTCTTCCCTCAGGAAATCCCAGAATTGAGCAAAGATCACAAGCCAGGCTCAGGAACTATATGTGAAATAAACTGATGGTGCAGGAAGGGTCGTTCACAAAACCAGAAGGTGGACATCCTATGTCATCTCTTAACACTTCAGGTTAGGAAACTCTGCTAGAGAATAGGGGGTACAGTAAGAAGATTTGGGGGTGGGGAAGGCACCAACACCATCTGGAAGAACGGGCTCACACCCCCTGGAACTGAATTCCTGAAAAGAATCGTGTCCCAGTCAACATTTCCTCACACAAGCCTCTCAGGAGAGCCGCCACTTTGTCTCTGTCTACATTACTGATCTTAATTCCAGGCGGAAATCCCTAGTTCTGCTTCCAAACCAGGCGGAGCCAAGTCCGACGGGAGGACAGATGCTTGCCTGCCTCGTTGTCTCCAATAGAGAGACTTCCCTGTCACCCAGGTTCTCGGGACACTCACGGGCACTCACCTGCTCCTCCAGGAAAACCTCTCCTCCTACTTCGCAGGACCCCTGAGGCACATGGTCGCCCCCTATTGCCCGGGCTTTTCAGGGCACTGGGATTACAACTGTCTGCCATGCGATCCTCACCAAGAATTCTACCCAGAAAATAAAACAACCCCTCCCCAAAAAAAGAACCATGCACAAACACAGCATGGCGGGGTTCTGCACCTCCCCCGTCCCCAGCCCTGCAAAGGAAGGCCCCCGGAACTGCTGGGCAGAGGTTCCCTATAAGGTGACCCAGCCACCCTGCCTGATATGACCGTTGGAGACATTTTTAACAAACACAGGGAAAGGTGTAGCTGTTTTATGTGTGTATATACTCATACACTAGCAGTGCCTAATTCCAAATTTCCGGTGGCATACGGATAATTTATTTTAGACCCTACGCAGGAATAAAACATGTAGAACATATATGCACTGTCCTTCAAGTAAGTGACTCATTATACTGCACACGACTACGGATCCATATACTTCTTACAGGAGACTTGGAAGGACACTGTCAGCACATCACGGCTCAAAAATGATCCTCTGCTGCCCTCCTGTGGCCATTCTGGGAAACAACACCTTGCGCCTCTGTCCATGGTGCTGAAGTCCCAGCTAAAGCCCCGTGAACACGACCAAAAATCTACCCCGAAAAAAACCCCGCAAAATCAGCCAGGCAGGCCCGGGCGGCGATCATTCCGTCCCTGGATGGACTGAAGTCACCACTCTGGGTTCTGCGCCTCTTCCCGCCCCAGTCTTGTAATGGGAGGCCCCAGAGACTGCTGCACTGATGTTCCCAGGAATGTGCCCCGCCCACCCTGCCTAAGGTGTTCCTTGGTGCCTTGGTTAACTGGAGTGCCGGGAGTGTCTGTCGGGCAAGCTAATGCTCTAACCATTGAGCGACACCAGCTACTGATTCCGTTCACTTTTAAAAAGGTAAATTTGAGACCTAGCCGGTTGGCTCAGTGGATAGAGCGCTGGCTAGAGGACTAAAGGGCGCGGGTTCAATTCAGGTCAAGGGCACAAACTTGGGTTGCAGGCTCCTTCCCGGCCAAGGCCCGAGTCCGGGCTTGTGCATGGGGCAACCAATCGATGTCATATTTGATATTCTCTCTGTCTTTCCCTCTCTCGTCCATTCTCTCTAAAGATCAATGGAGCCCTAGCCGGTTTGGCTCAGTGGGTAGAGCGTCGGCCTGCAGACTGAAGGGTCCCGGGTTCGACCCCCCTGGTTTGATTCTGGCCCGGGTTGTTGGCTTGATCCCCAGTAGGGGGTGTGCAGGTGGCAGCCGATCAATGATTCTCTTTCATCATTGAAGTGTCTATCTCTCTCTCCCTCTTCCTTCCTCTCTGAAATCAATAAAAGTATACTTTAAAAAATCAATGGAATAATATCCTTGGGTGAGGATTAAAATTAAGTGTAACCATATATATATTGGAAACCATTCCCAGCCACCCTTATGGGACATAAACCTTCCCTCCTACCCGCACTTTGCATGGGCATTTCTGTGGATTCGCACCTGCGAGAAACTAGGGTTTGCATCTCAGGTTCCCTAGCCAAAAGGTCACTTTTATAAGGAGAATCTAGTGCTTCTTCCCTCAGGAAATCCCAGAATTGAGCAAAGATCACAAGCCAGGCTCAGGAACTATATGTGAAATAAACTGATGGAGGAGGAAGGGTCTTTCACAAAACTGGAAGGTGGACATTTTATGTCATCTCTTAAGTCTGCTAGAGAAAAGGGGGTACAGTAAGAAGATTTGGGGGTGGGGAAGACACTAATAGTCTGGAAGAATGGGCTCACACCCCTGGAACTGATTTCCTGAAGAGAATCATGCCCCAGTCAACATTTCTTCACACAAACCTCTCAGGAGAGCCGCCGCTTTGTCTCTGTCTACGTTACTGATCTTAATTCCAGGCGGAAATCCCTGGTTCTGCTTCCAAACCAGGCGGAGCCAAGTCCGACGGGAGGACAGATGCTTGCCTGCCTCGTTGTCTCCAATAGATGTTGGCTTGATCCCCAGTAGGGGGTGTGCAGGTGGCAGCCGATCAATGATTCTCTTTCATCATTGAAGTGTCTATCTCTCTCTCCCTCTTCCTTCCTCTCTGAAATCAATAAAAGTATACTTTAAAAAATCAATGGAATAATATCCTTGGGTGAGGATTAAAATTAAGTGTAACCATATATATATTGGAAACCATTCCCAGCCACCCTAATGGGACATAAACCTTTCCTCCTACCCGCACTTTGCATGGGCATTTCTGTGGATTCGCACCTGCGAGAAACTAGGGTTTGCATGTCAGTTTCCCTAGCCAAAAGGTCACTTTTATAAGGAGAATCTAGTGCTTCTTCCCTCAGGAAATCCCAGAATTGAGCAAAGATCACAAGCCAGGCTCAGGAACCATATGTTAAATAAACTGATGGAGAAGGAAGGGTCGTTCACAAAACCAGAAGGTGGTAATCCTATTTCACCTCTTAACACTCCAGGTTGGGAAACTCTGCTAGAGAATAGGGGGTACAGTAAGAAGATTTGGGGGGGGGGGGGCAAGTCAGGCTCACACCCCTGGAACTGATTTCCTGAAGAGAATCATGCCCCAGTCAACATTTCTTCACACAAACCTCTCAGGAGAGCCGCCGCTTTGTCTCTGTCTACGTTACTGATCTTAATTCCAGGCGGAAATCCCTGGTTCTGCTTCCAAACCAGGCGGAGCCAAGTCCGACGGGAGGACAGATGCTTGCCTGCCTCGTTGTCTCCAATAGAGAGACTTCCCTGTCACCCAGGTTCTCGGGACACTCACGGGCACTGACCCCAGAGCTGCCCCTTTGGAGCGTGTGGAGGCAAGGGGGGGACCTAGTCACCACCTCCCAGCTCACCTGCTCCTCCAGGAAAACCTCTCCTCCTACTTGGCAGGTCCCCTGAGGCACATGGCTGCCCCATATTGCCCAGGCTTTTCAGGGCACTGGGATTACAACTGTCTGCCATGCGATCCTCACCAAGAATTCTACCCAGAAAATAAAGCAAACCAAAACAAAGAACCATGCACAAACACAGCAAGGCGGGGTTCTGCACCTCCCCCGTCCCCAGCCCTGCAAAGGAGGCCCGCGGAACAGCTGGGCAGAGGTGCCCTTTAACGTGACCCGGCCACCCTTCCTGATATGACTGTTGGAGACATTTTTAACAAACACAGGGAAAGGTGTAGCTGTTTTATGTGTGTATATACTCATACACTAGCAGTGCCTAATTCCAAACTTCCTGTGGCATACGGATAATTTATTTTAGATCCTACGCAGGAATAAAACATGTAGAACATATATGCACTGTCCTTCAAGTAAGTGACTCATTATACGGCACACGTCTACGGATCCATATACTTCTTACAGTAGACTTGGAAGGACACTGTCAGCACATCACGGCGGAAAAATGATCCTCTGCTGCCCTCCTGTGGCCACCCTGGGAAACAACACCTTGCGCCTCTGTCCATGGTGCTGAAATCCCAGCTAAAACCCCGTGAACACTACCAAAAGTTCTACCCCGCAAATCAGCCAGGCAGGCCAGGGTGGCAATCATTCCGTTCCTGGAGGGACTGAAGTCACCACTCTGAGTTCTGCGCCTCTTCCCGCCCCAGTCTTGTAATGGGAGGCCCCAGAGACTGCTGCACTGAGGTTCCCCGCCTACCTGCCTAAGGTGTTCCTCGGTGGCCTCTTTAACTGGAGAGCTGTGAGTGTCTGTCTGGCAGGCTGATGCTCTAACCACTGAGTGACACCAGTTACTGATTCCATTCACTTTTATAAAGGTAAATTGGAGACCTAGACGGTAGGCTCAGTGTATAGAGCGCTTGCTTGAGGACTAAAGGGCCGCGGGTTCAATTCAGGTCAAGGGCACATACCTGGGTTGCAGGCTCCTTCCCAGACAAGGCCCGGGTTCGGAGCAACCAATCGATGAGGCAACCAATCGATGTGATATTTGATATTCTCTCTGTCTTTCCCTCTCTCGTCCATTCTCTCTAAAAATCAATGGAGCCCTAGCCGGTTTGGCTCAGTGGATGGAGCAGCGTCCTGAAGACTGAAGGATTCCGGGTTTGATTCCTGGTTTGATTCTGGCCAAGGGTACATTCTCGAGTTGTTGACTTTATCCCAAGTTCGGGGTTTGCAGGTTGCAGCCGATTAATGATTCTCTTTCATTATTGAAGTTTCTATCTCTCTCTCTCCCTCCTCCTTCCTGTCAGAAATTAATAAAAGTATACTTTTAAAAATCAATGGAAAATATCCTTGGGTGAGGATTAAAATTAAGTGTAAACGTGTATATATTGGAAACCATTCCCAGCCGCCCTAAGGGACATAAATCTTCCTTTCTACCCGCACTTTGTATGGGCATTGCACCTGTGAGAAACTAGGGTTTGCATGTCAGTTTCCCTAGCCAGAGGGTCACTTTTATAGGGAAAATCTAGTGCTTATTCCCTTTGAATCCCAGAATCTAGCAAAAATCACAAGCCAGGCTCAGTAACTACATGTGAAATAAACTGATGGAGGAGGAAGGGTCTTTCACAAAACCAGAAGGTGAACATCCTTCTAGGTGTACCAGGTGATAATGCTGATTTTTTTTCAATAGATGGGGTTACACATATCCTGATATATATGTGATTTGATATGTATGCTATTTTGTTGTATTGACAACAAGCTTCAAAAATTCATGTCAAATTTTCTGAAGGTGTTAACATCATAGATATTTTTACGCTTAAAAAATGTCAAACTTCATGTCAGATAAAGAGCATTTGCAGGAAGATTTAATCCATTACATTATTTTGAAGAAAAGTGCTGCTGAAAGTTATCGTATACTTTGGAAATCTTATAGTGAACATGCTTCATCTCAAGATACTTGTGAACGCTGGTTTAAGCGCTTTTAAAGTAATGATTTCGATGTGATAGACAAAGAACGTCCAGGTCAATTTCAACCATGGTTTGATCGTGAAACAACCGAATAGGCCAGAAGACACGGCAAAGTAATTTTGCTTCGTGATGACGCACCATCACACACTTCAAAACCAGTTAAAGACACGTTAAAAGATCTTGCCTGGGATGTAACCCACCCGCCCTATTCACCAGACCTTGTTCCTTCAGATGACCACTTGTTCCGATCGATGGCACACGCACTTTCTGAGCAGCACTTCAAAACGTACAAAGAAGTGGAAAATGGGGTCTCTGAATGGTCTGCCTCAAAACAAGAAAGGTTCTATTGGGACGGTATCCACAAATTCCCTGAAAGATGGGGGAAATGTGGACGTAGCGATTGACATTACTTTGAACAAAGCACTTCTGATGTTTCTCTTGAAATTGTCGTGTTTTCTTTGATTACACATCCGCGTTATTAACCGGTACAACTGGTCCTTCTTACTCTGGACCTCAAAGGACGCTGTCAGCACATTGCCGCGCAAAAATGATCCTCTGCTGCCCTCCTGTGGCCATTCTAGGAATAACACTTTGCGCCTCTGTGGGGCTGAAGTCCCAGCTAAAGCCCTGTGAACACGACCTCAAATTCGACCCGGAATAAAAAACCCACAAAATCAGCCAGGCAGGCCAGGGCGGCGATCATTCCGTCCCTGGCGGGGCTGAAGTCACCACTCTGGGTTCTGCACCTCCTCCCGCCCAGCCCTGCAAAGGGAGGTCCCAGAGACTGCATAGCTGTGGTTCCCTCTGGCCCTCATTGCCCCCACTGCCCTGTGCCCCACCCCGCCCACCCGGGGCTGCACCCCATAGCGCTCCCTTGTAATGTCGCCAATCCCCATCCAGCGCCGCACCTCATAGCACCCCATTTGATGCCTCTGCTCTCTGCCCCCCTCCCCCCTCCCTGTGTTGTGTCCCTGCTCCTCACAGGCCCCCATTATAACTGCTGCTGCACCCTGCACTGCGCCCCTCAGCACTCCTCCTGTGATGCCTTCCCCACCCACCCTGCGCTTTCCCCCAAAG